AGCAAGTGCTGTATAATCAGGGCAGACTGTGCAGAGCCTGATATGCGTGAGGCTAGGATCAGTAAAACTACGTGTACTAGTGATTCATGAACTGTACTATGATTATTTCATTCTCGCCGAGTTTAACTGCGTTACCTTCTCGTTTAAAAAAGGGAAATATATTGCTTTTATGATGCTGCAATTACCTAAGGATATGGTAGTTATTAGCATTCAGGAACATGTACATTTTTAACTATAAAAGTTTGAAAGACACATCCGCACATGTGCTACCTTTATTCCAAACTATTTTGTATAAGTGTGCTGTAATTATGTAAATGAGGCAGCAAAATTTATCTGGCTGCTTTTCCTCCCATTAAAATGTAGCCAAAATAAGTTAGTTTTTTTTACTCCGAAGGGAATCATAAATACATAATTTGAATGACCTTGGAGGCTCATTATTAACACAGCCTTTAGCATATCCACTCTCTCTTTGTACCTGGTTGTCTTCCAAAGTAAACAGAGGGAAAAAGAAACATCGCTTCTCATTAAATTTTGTCCGCACACGGAATCAGAATCTGTATTTATACGGCAGGAATCCGATGAGTTCTGAAGCTATTTTTCACAAAGCTCGCACTGCTGAGAATCGCTCTTTTGCTTCCATTCATGGCACACTTCTCGTGTTCAGATGAGCCAGGAATGATGACATTGAGCCCTTAAAAAAAGACAAAAAAAATCTTCAAAACGATTAAAAGTGGCTTATGAACAGCGACCAACATTGTGGCGATAGATGGGCCTGCCTGCGCTTGTCATTCGTGGGAATCGTAGTTGCGAGGTTTGCGTTTCGCCCGAGCAAACAAAGCGGATTTGATTACAGTTTTTGGGGGCAGAGCCATAATCAGGAAGGGGGTCATTAACATAGTTTTGGGGTCCTGGGGAATGTGCTACGCGGATGCGGTGAGTGTCTTCTTCCTGACCTGGATGATGTGCCTTTTTTAAATAGGGGGCAAGGCCTGTGGGTCTCTGAGGGCCTTGGTCTCACGAGTGGCCTTTCCACCGAAAACCGGCTCCGTGGGATAAGGCACGCGAGACTTTTCTCGGCGGTCAGAGGCACGGGGCGGCGAGGAGATGTCGCCGTCGCGATCATTTCATCGGCACATTTTAACCTTGGTCACGCATCCATTCATATTGTAAATGAAGGGGCATGATAAACACCGCACGGTCATCATCGTCGTCATCGGCCGTGGTCTATCCGCTGCTGGATTAAAGCCTCCTCTCCAAGCTGCCGTCACCTCTCACGATTATGAGAGGTAATAAACAAAACAAAGATCCCGCCCCCCGTATAACCAGTAACAGACTGTTGGAGCAAATGCACGGCACACGAGGGGGTGGGTGGCCGACACCACGCCCGACCGCCTTTGTCCCCCCCCAGTGGCGATGTTTCCACAGCACACCAGGTACTCATTTGAGGCTGAGTTGACCTAGGGGAGGCTCAGGACCCAGTTCAGATAATCGTCACCGGTGGTGGCCGTGAGCGGGAATCGAACTCGGGTCGCCGGGTTCGTAGCGCAGCGCGCCGACCGCGCTACACCCCCACTCCCCACTGAGCACCTACACATAGCATCTCCTCCATGGATGTGCTCTCAAACGTGATGCATTCCTTGGCAGCCACTCCGTTAGTATTTTTGACGATCGTCCGTCGTCCTTTCTCTCCACGTGTCCTGTCCAAGCACGCTTTCTTAACGATGTCATTAACCTGCATATGTTATCAACTCCATGTGTGCCTCTTCATGGTAATTTGAAGTAACATACTGATGGACTCCAAGAAGAAAGTGTTTAATCAATGGTCACTGCCTGCTATTAGACGTTTCAGAACAGAGCCTTTAACAAAAAAATTTAAACACTAAAGTGCGCAAAGAAGCATTGACAGATGCATGCTTGGAATTTACATTAAGAGACGGAAGAGAAACGCGTACATTAGAGGACATATGCTGGTCAAAAATATTTGCAAACCGCAAGGCAAAGTAAGTGGGCTTGGGAAGGACACGTTGCAAGAAGGAGATATGGCTTGACGGTCGAGAAGGGTGAATGAGTGGCAGACAAAGAATGGAATGAAATTCCCTTGCATCGTTTATTTTCTTCAGTTCTTACAATCTTGCTCAGTTCAATAAACATTTTACGAACTCCTCTTATCCACAGCCCTATTACACACGACTCCTATTGTCCGTAGCAGCTTTTATGGTCTGTACAAACTCCTATTATCATCCTTTGTGCTATTTATGGACATCTGTGAAAAAGAGCTTCATTGCTTATCGGATTTCTTCAGGATGAATAAAGATTATGATTCCTACGATGTGTGAGTTTGTTTTTTCCAGGATAAGAGTCCCGCAGCAAATGCACCCTATTGTCCGTGGATTGTCTGCAATTTTATTTTGTTTGACACGTAGCCTTTCGCGACCAATATTATTCATAATGAAGGTTGTTTTGGTTTAGATCGTGTAAATATAAATGTGTCGTTAACCCGCCATCTCCCGACAGAGCCAATCAGCAAGGTTTGTCACGCAAACAAATCGTGCCAATTAGTTGCTACTTCGAATCACAACATTTAAATTTGAGTAAAGTGACGTTTCGCTGGCAATTACATCCAGCATCATTAGGCGATTTAGCGAATTTTTTACCCCGCTCATAAAAAGGAGTAAAATCACGGCCAACCCCATAGATTATTGGATCGGTGATGTTGGTCCCGCACTATCGCAGCGGATAAAATTAGTTCTGCTGTAACTCTTATCTGTTACAATTTTAATCGTTCTGTTTGTTGCTGGTCACTTTGCATTACCGGGCCTTTGGGCCTGTGCCCAGCAACAGCGATGTACCAAAAAAATAATAATCTGGGGCTCTCTTTATCAGTAAACACATCCTTACAGACAGCCCTTTAATCTCCATTGTGAGAGAGCAATTCGTAACGTCATTGCACAAAATCTCTACGAACTCAACAATACTAACATCTGGTCAGTAGTGGTTCGCGTGTTTTTTTTTATCAGGGACGTTTTGTGATCTTTTTCGGAGCTGTTTGCATTGCATCGGCGCTGTTGCGTTTTATGTTGTTTATTCCTCCAATTTTCAAGACTCCCTCCCATCACCACTTTTCAATCGTCTCACTCCTAAACAGTCTTTGTTTTTTTATGCTTAAATAATGTTCACAGAAAAGTACATCGTAAGGCGTAACGTGCATTACATTGGAGTCATACGATAACTTTGCATGTCTTGTTTTTAACAATGTCTAAAGTTCTCCTAGTATCTAATGGGAACACTAAATTTATCCGATGATTGTATATTCTACTTAAAATGAGTTCTTTGTATACCATTCTATGTTTTGAAAAACATTGAATTACTATATTAACAATGTTTATTATGCATCATAAATTGAACATGAGTCGAAATTCCATCTTGCTTATACATTTTTTTTTGCATATTTTTTTAATAGTTTAGCTTTCTTTTTGTCCCAACATAAATGATAAAACTCCCGTGTAGTGAAAACCAGAAATTAGGCCACGTTAATTGTGCCGAGACTCCTTGACACAAATGACACCTGACAAACAGCTGCAAAAGACAGCCTGAATTACAAGACCCGAGGCAAGGCCCATGCAAAAGCACAAACAACTCCTTCGTGAACTCAAAAACAGTCATGCCACGCACACACACAAGAAGGTGGACATTATTACAGTGCATTTGTGTTGCGCTGGATTTTTAAGCGTTAAATAACTTGCTTTTAAACAGTTTACCTCGCAGAATATCATGTTTCAAATGTCCTCATGGGTTATGACTTTCCTGTTTGGTGGACATTTTAAATGCCATCAGAGTGGGAAACGGAGAATAGTGTTTCCTGAATAACAATGTCAAGCAAGAGATTGTTTGGAGGGGTGCTTTTATGTTAAATATTTAAACGACACTGTTCTGATTTATTGTGGCCCTTCTATATTGAGCAGATCGAGAGCAAGGGACTTGCAAATAATTGGGCATTAAAGCACGGAATGAGAAGCACACGACGATAAAAAGTGTTCACTAATCTGGCCGGCCTCTTTAAAAGTACATACACCAACTCGTCACACTTGCTCAATATATACAAATGGGCAGTGTTACCGAATTATTTGGATTATAAGACATCGCATAATTAATTAAGATGTACCCCAAACTTGTGCAAGGTGTCAATTAAAGGCATACGAAGATACTTCTCACACACCCAAGCGGATGATGAGACAGTGGGAAGAGGTGCATCTTATTAATCCTGATAATGTAGTACTACACGAGAGCTCTTATCCGCGGTGATATTTGGGACCAATATCGTGGATCCTTTTATCCACGGGGTTTATCCGCTGTTTTACTCGTCTTATCCGCGAGGTAAAATTTTGCGGATAACCTGCGGATAATAGGACGTATTTGCCGCGCGACTCCTCTTATCCGCGGAAAAAGCGTTAACAGAAGCGGATGATAGGAATTTTCGCGGACTCTATAGCTGCCGTGGATGAGAGGAGTCGTGGGTAATAGGGCGAGAGGGGCTCTCCTGTGCGTAGGTTACCACAGTTGGGCTGTACTGCATAGCTTCTCTCCGATGTGTTTTCAATTTGTACCGCCATGCATAGTTGCTCTTTGGCAAACACCTGCGATGAGAAGACACCTGATGGGTGATGAAGTCGTCAGCAGCGCATCGTGATCCATTTGATCCCCCTATAGCCCCACTGCGTTCCAAGGGTTCGCTCTTGAGGCTTTTTGGCTGAGTTGACCAAGTGACTTTGGGGGGGGGGGGAGGGGATGACGACGACGCCGCTGGCACCGCAGTGCAATCGTAATTGCGGATGCAGAAACTGAACCCCGAGTTCCCTAAATTGTGTGCTCCAGCAGCCAACGAGTCCCCACGTGTACACACACACACACACAGCAGCAGGCACACGAGCTCCCTCACGCAGTTACACACGGACCGATGTTGTGACTGACCGATGAACATATGAAACGGAAAAAAAGCGCAATTATTGGTGACATTTTAATGACTTCAATCCGATGTGGAAATTTGAAAATAACAACTGTAGTTCAGATGTGCATAGATTATTGGGTACCAAAAATATACTGTTATTGCCTACAAATATGACAAGGCTGAAATAAATTATAAATTAGGAAGTGACTGTATATACACAACGATGTACTTAGAAAATAACATACACAGTGTAGTTACATAGTTGAATAAAACAAATGACGATGATTGCTTAGCAACCAAAAAGCTCTAGCATACAGGAACACTATAGCAGCATATAATGTTATTTTCTCTCTTTTTGTTATATTAAATCTAAAACCATTACATATATTTATATAGGGCAAGTGTACAGTTTAAAAAAATGAAAAACCTTTATTGAACAAAAAAGTTAAAATATTTTAATAAATGTGTTTCATTTGGCAACTCTTTAAAGAAATAATAAGGGGTACAGTATTCTGTACTGTCGTTACATTTCTCACCAATTATGTAGCATTTTTAACGGGTGAAACCTTTAATGAACATGCATTAGAAACGTGATGTTAATGGGTTTTTTTTTTTATCACAGAAGTGCCATAGGCCATTAACGTAACATTCGGGGCAAACCAAATAATGTTCAACACAATTGGATCTCTGCTTGAGAAATACAGAACTCCTCTTATGCGCGGTGATATGGGCGACCAATATCGCGGCAGGTCATATTATCTTCTCATCATTGTTAACCCCGATGAATAATACGGATTAAACTGCTTCACAACTTATCCGCGGAATAAATCGCAAGTTTTAGGAAACTGCGTTGCTGTGCATTGTGGGTAAAACTGCGTAGAACATAAAGAAATAGGGTCACGGATAATAGGGGTTTTCTCGTACCCTACAGGTGCCGTGGATAGTCGGAGTCGCGGATAATAGGACCGCTAAATAAGAGTTCTCCTGTAATTGTCTTTTTCATACTCATTTGTCAATCTACAGTTTTTCATTGAAAAAAAATCTATCACATAAATCCCATAGAAGCCAAACACAGTGCAAGGTCGTTTTATCCAAACCTGACCGATGAACCGCCCATACACACTGTGTAACCGTCATTTTCTACACATGTTCAAATATCCGAACCCTCTTCACATATATCTGTCTATACGTCGGTCATCAGTGAGTCGGTAATGCGTCGTTGTACTGTGATATGGGCCCCAATGATCGCGTGTAAGAGAGATTTTCTGAAAATTGGCAACAAAGTCGAGGCTTGTGTTTAATCGTAATGGTGACAGGTTTACAGCTTAGCAAACAACATGGCCCAAACACTGGCCCCGCTCCTAGGCAGCACGCATATGCTAACAGATACAGATGTGAATGAAAGGTTATTATTGCCTCGAATAACCTGTGTGTAATATAAACAGTATATGTACACACACGCAACATACATTTCCATTGCTTTAATATACACTTTTATAATCGCTGTGATGCACATATATAAACATGAGGGCCCGTCAAATTTTTAAGAATGGTATACTAAGAGTATGCATGAAGGCCTATGTGTGTGTATTTTTATACAGTTAATTATAACAGGATGCTTCCGTTGTGCAATGATGATTGGCATGGTGGACTTGCAATCAGAGGTCACCGCTTCAATCAGAACTCTAAGAGACAGTTGAAACGACGGTCTAAGTTCATTGGATCCCTCTCAACCTTGCAATCAGAGGTCACTGCTTCGATCAGAACTCTAAAAGACACTTGAAACGACGGTCTAAGTTCATTGGATCCCTCTCAACCTTGCAATCAGAGGTCACCGCTTCGATCAGAACTCTAAGAGACAGTTGAAACGACGGTCTAAGTTCATTGGATCCCTCTCAACCTTTGTCCACCCAGCAGGTTCACCACGGTTAGTCGTTCGGCAGCTCGCTCGTGTGATGGGGTAAACCGTGGGCACTTCCACTTCCTCCAAGATGTCTGGCCCAATGCACTCTTCGGGCACGAACCCAATATCCACATGGACGAACTCGTGAGACACATGCGGCAAAGAGAAACTAACGGCTCGTCACTGACCCAGCACCGGAAGTCCATGGCAAACGACCTCCCTCGAAGACCATGCGCACGGCGAACTCCTTCCGCGCCGTACAGAGATGTCAGCCCCAAGCGCGACCATGACTCCCACACCGCGGAGCGCATAGCCGGCCGACCTGCCCACTGGGGTCTGTAGCTACGGGAGGCGCTTCATGCCTCCACTTGGCATCTTGGAAAGCCACCGAGTGGATCGCCAGACTGGACGTGCCATCGTCAAGCGGTTTTTCCCGTCACGTAACAGAAGGCGACTCCTCGAGTGGAGGCCCTTCCTCCAGCAATGGCATAACCAAAGCAATTGCAGGGCTGCACCCTTGTGTTTACTTAGAACAATGTGCTGCTGTGTTTAATGCACAACGCAGGACACCAAGACAGAGCTACAACAAATCCTAACATTGAGATGGTCCTCATTAAAGGGTCTCGATTCTGAAAGCTTGTACGACCATTCCTCATATAAAGACAAAGATCCCCCCGTCTAGCCTTAACAGACTGTTGGGGCAAGTTCTGTTAGCGAGCACCTATGAAGGCTGGCACGGCACACGAGGGGGTGGGTGATTAACACCACGCCCGGCCGCCTTTGTCTCCCGAATGGCAATGTTTACACACCGCACCAGGTACTCATTTGTGGCTGAGTCGACCTAGGGGAGGCCCAGGACCGGTTCAGATAATCGTCACTGGTGTTGGCCGTGAGCGGGCATCGAACTCGGGTCGCCAGGTTCGTAGCGCAGCGCGCTAACCGCTACACTACCGCTCCCCAATAAAAGCTTGCATGACCATTCCTCATAAGCGCAGATGCACAGACAGTATAGTTGATAGTGGATTCTCAATAATGAATTACTGGATTCAGTTACACATCGTGTATTTCAGTGCCAGAACAACACCGACAAAACACGTCTTCAACCCAGTGACTGGGGGGTTACGTTGATAGTTCACAAAGAGATGGAACAACATGTACAGTGAGGGAAAAAAGTATTTGATCCCCTGCTGATTTTGTACGTTTGCCCGCTGACAAAGAAATGATCAGTCTATAATTTTCATGGTAGGTTTATTTGAACAGTGAGAGACAGAATAACAACAACAAAATCCAGAAAAACACATGTCAAAAATGTTATAAATTGATTTGCATTTTAATGATGGAAATAAGTATTTGACCCCTCTGAAAACATGACTTAGTATTTGGTGGCACAACCCTTGTTGGCAATCACAGAGGTCAGACGTTTCTTGTAGTTGGCCACCAGGTTTGCACACATCTCTGGAGGGATTTTGTCCCACTCCTCTTTGCAGATCTTCTCCAAGTCATGAAGGTTTCGAGGCTGACGTTTGGCAACTCGAACCTTCAGCTCCCTCCACAGATTTTCTATGGGATTAAGGTCTGGAGACTGGCTAGGCCACTCCAGGACCTTAATGTGCTTCTTCTTGAGCCACTCCTTTGCTGCCTTGGCCATGTGTTTTGGGTCATTGCCATGCTGGAATACCCATCCACGACCCATTTTCAATGCCCTGGCTGAGGGAAGGAGGTTCTCACCCAAGATTTGACGTTACATGGCCCCGTCCATCGTCCCTTTGTTGCGGTGAAGTTGTCCTGTCCCCTTAGCAGAAGAACACCTCCAAAGCATAATGTTTCCACCTCCATGTTTGACGGTGGGGATGGTGTTCTTGGGGTCATAGGCAGCATTCCTCCTCCTCCAAACACAGCGAGTTGAGTTGATGCCAAAGAGCTCCATTTTGGTCTCATATGACCACAACACTTTCACCCAGTTGTCCTCTGAATTATTCAGATGTTCATTGGCAAACTTCAGACGGGCATGTATATGTGCTTTCTTGAGCAGGGGGACCTTGCGGGCGCTGCAGGATTTCAGTCCTTCACGGCGTAGTGTGTTACCAATTGTTTTCTTGGTGACTATGGTCTCAGCTGCCTTGAGATCATTGACAAGATCTTCCCGTGTAGTTATGGGCTGATTCCTCACCGTTCTCATGATCATTGCAACTCCACGAGGTGAGATCTTGCATGGAGGCCCAGGCCGAGGGAGATTGACAGTTCTTTTGTGTTTCTTCCATTTGCAAATAATCGCACCAACTGTTGTCACCTTCTCACCAAGCTGCTTGGTAGTGGTCTTGTAGCCCATTCCAGCCTTGTGTAGGTCTACAATCTTGTCCCTGACATCCTTGGAAAGTTCTTTGGTCTTGGCCATGGTGTAGAGTTTGGAATCTGATTGATTGATTGCTTCTGTGGACAGGTGTCTTTTATACAGGTAACAAGCTGAGATTAGGAGCACTCCCTTTAAGAGTGTGCTCGTAATCTCAGCTCGATACCTGTATAAAAGACACCTGGGAGCCAGAAATCTTTCTGATTGAGAGGGGATCAAATACTTATTTCCCTCATTAAAATGCAAATCAATTTATAACATTTTTCACATGCGTTTATCTGGATTTTGTTGTTGTTAGTCTGTCTTTCACTGTTCAAATAAACCTACCATTAAAATTACTGACTGATCATTTCTTTGTCAGTGGGCAAACGTACAAAATCAGCAGGGGATCAAATACTTTTTTCCCTCGCTGTACTTGAGACAGCTTCCTGCAGGGCAGTACAACAAGTATGTTTATTTTTATACTTAAAACTTTCCTGACTGCAGGAATTCATATTCTCTTTATTTCGGTAAAGTCACGTAGATAAAAATAATAATAAATAAAGTGAATAAAAATAATAAAAAAATTAATAAAAAATAATATTTTCATTTTAAAATAAGAATAAAAGAAAAATATATGTTTATTATTTTTATTCACTTTCTTTTTTTTATAATATTTTTTTCTACCTACGTGACTTTGCCGAAAGAACCAAAGAATAAGTAGGTTTATGTCCTGTGGAAAGTTAGGAATTATATTAATGGTTATGGGTCGATCTTTCTCCTGTTTGAGAAAATTGGCCTACATCTCCAATTGACTCCTGTGGTTAAATACTTGTTACATTACACAGTTGCACTCACATTCAGCATATCTACGTCAAAATACGTTGTTTATTGTCAGCCTCACCTTATCCTTCCTTTTCTGATATGCTTTTGTTTTTAATTGATTAATTGTAAAAAGAAAAATCTACTAAACGTGCGTCACGGATACTTAAGTGTCTCGGGTTATATTTTAAATGTTTACACTGCCACCTGTCATAGGACTATCAACACAGCTTATCGCTATCAATGGGAGAATCGACATACAATATTTATTATGCTGGGGCAGTAGGGTCTTGAGTTAATAATTTATTACACTGAAATTTTGCGTGGTTTCATTTTACTTTTCTCCAATATTCCATTACCGTTGCAAACACGAACTCACAATTCATGTTCTTTTAAATGTTTTCGAATTCATTGATTTCTACCTTTATGATAATAGATTTTAAAAATCATTTTGAATGAGATATGAAAGGTACAGGATGACACACATTATAGATCCCATGACACAAGATTTTACAATCCAACTTCCTCTCGCCCCGTAATGTTACATCGCCGTGCTGTTCCCATTGTCCCGTGTTGGAATACTAATTAAGTCGTAGCATGCAAACGCGTCCCGAGTGACAAAGTGCCGACTCAAATTAGAATTCATATTAATTTGAGTCAGCGTCTGCCACACGTGACAAAGACAACGACCCCCCCGTTTCGTATTGAACAGACCGCTGGGGCAAGTGCTGTAAGCAAGTACCTATGAAGGCCGACACGGACACACTGATGGGTGGGTGGCCAACGCCAATCCCGGCCCCCTTTGTCTCCCCAGTGCTGATGTTTACACACCGCACCGGGTACGTATTTATGGCTAAGTCGACCTAGGGGAGGCCCAGAACCGGTTCAGGTAATCGTCACTGATGTTGGCTGTGAGCGGGAATCAAGCCTGGCCCCAGTGCGCCAACTGGTGCACTACAGCGTGACGCACACATATGCACACACAAGATCTGTGTCTTAATTTGCTTTAAGTGCGTAACCCCTTTGTATTTTAACTGAGGAAATTGGTAAAATGTGGAAAGACCCACCGTGGTTTGTGGTGGGGACTGGAGATTGGATAAACCCAGTCCTAACATATTTACCCCCAACTTCATACCATTGTTATGGAGATGGGGCTTACAAATAATAATACGTCTAAAAATGCATAATAGTCGTATAACCCTTTCAAATCTCATCCTGAAATATTTTTGTCCTCCCCGAATGAACTCTGTAACATGGAAGTGCTCGTACTGGATCGGAAAGTTCCCGTAAGCTATGGCTGCATCATAAGGCACAGAAGGGAATGCACTCTGAGCTGTGTCACTGTTCCCCGGTATTGGTATGAGGGATGATGTGTCAGAGAGGCTACTGCTACACGGTGGCCTACGACGGACCAAACACAAACAACGCTGTTCTAACGGGCCACCAGATGCCCCTCTGGTCAGAGTGCTCAAAGGCGCGACAGTTTTAATAGCGACTCAACAGTTCTGATTCCATAAAATGCCAGGTAATTTTCCATGGGGAATGACCAAAATATATACAAAATAAAATAAAAATCTCTTCAACATCATTGTCAAGGGTAGGTGCTGGTGTCAATTGATTGATTTTTTTTTTCTTTACCCACAGTTCCACACACAGTTGTAATGTTTATATGGTGCCTCGGGGCGCATACACCGAATCTCAACATGTCGAGACGCTTTCGCCTGCCGGTGATTTCAATTGGGGACGTTGTTTGGACGAAGTTATCGGGTGCCACGGTGGCGAGATGTTAACTACCTCACCTGGTATGCAGGAGGTCGTGGGTTCGATCCCGACCCTGACGACGCATGCATATTTGGAGTTTGCCTGTTTTCCCCGTGGTCGTGTGGATTTTTCTCCGGGTCCTCCGGTTTTCCCCTCCACATTTATAATCGACGTGCACTTAGAGTATTTGGCTGCTATACATTTCCACGTGATGAGCCACTTCGTTGAGCTATCATGTGTTGCCAGGTCTGAAATAGAGCTATATAGCTCAGTGGGCTTTACCTGCTAAGATAAAAAAATAGTTTAGTTTTAGTTGTATATACTTCTAAGCGATTTATTTACCTTTACTATACTTTGCACTCCTATCGTGCTTTGTATTTGTTTGTTGTTGTAATGTTCTGACCTGCCTCTCTTGGACATCTGTGAAAAAAGAGCTTCATAGCTCATCGTATTCCCTCCAGTATAAATAAGTATTCTGATTCTGAATAAGAGCTCTATAGCTCGGTGGGCCTTACCTGCTAAAATAAAAAAAAAGTGATAAAAAAAATTGTTTAGTTTAAAATTTTGATTTAAAGCCTTCGTGACTGCAGAGATTCATATCACAAGAATATCTTTTAGTTTTAGTTTATCTCGACGACGCGCCAGCAGCGTCGGGCTCGTACCGCGATGGCTGAAACCGCGGTCCTTGCGACGCGAGCGGCCAGGGAGGGAACCGCCCGGAGGTCAGAGGTCAGTGGCAGCCGCACGAGCGCACCACCATGTTGCGGTACTTCTTGAGGATCACGTTCGAGTTGTTGTCGAAGTAGAGGATGGAGATGGCGCTGAGCTTGGTGGGGGCACAGCAGGGCATGGGCACGGCCTCGGGCTTCATTCGGTGAACCTGCAATCGAGATATTTTTTTTAACAAAAAGTTAAAGGCGCAGCCCTGCACTTGCTTGCTCATGCCACTGCTGGAGGAATGGCCTCCACTATAAGATGCTCTAGGGCAGCGGTCCCCAACCTTTTTGGCAGCAGGGACCGGTTTCGTGGAAGACAATTTTTTTCACGGACCGGGGAGGGTTGGGGGGGGGTTCATCATTGGGTCTTTCCCCCTTTTCAAAGAAGCTCTCCAGCGACGTTTGTGTTTTCACTCGTTGTGGCTACTAGGGGGTTAGAGCTTGTGGGCTTACTCATTGTGGCTACTAGGGGGTTAGAGCTTGTGGGCTTACCAACACTGTGACTGAGACGAGTGCGCGGTGCGGGAAAGAGGCGCGGACGGAAGTGGTAAATAATAAAATCATGGGGGTTGGGCCACGCGCGGACTCGCCGCTCTCACCTCCTGCTGCTGTGCGGCCTGGTTCCTAACAGGCCACGGACCGGTACCGGTCCACGGCCCCGGGGGTTGGGGACCCCTGCTCTAAGGAGCCCCTCTAGATTTGCCCTACGCTTCCACGCTGGCCAGACGTCTTGGAAGAGCTGTGAGTAATAATAATAGGGTTTTTCCCCTTTTTTCTGGCAACGAAACTGAAACCTTTTTTTACGAGGATTCATGTCTGCATTAACCACAATACCTGCAGTCAAAATGCAAACAAACAAAAAATACTATGATAATATATGATGCATTGTCCTTGAAACTGATTGGTCCACACCAAGGGACGGCTTTCTTTTGAGCCTCGACCCAATTGGTGCTCGACCAGATGACGCCAAAAGGCGTCACACAGCTCAAAGACAATGCACTATCAAAGCAATGAGGGCTCGGGGTGAGCATCTACATCATTGGACCTCCTTTGCCAGTACCAAAATGTAATAATAGGGTTTTTCCCCTTTTTTCTGCCAACAAAACTGAAACCTTTTTACGAGGATCCATGTTACTGCATTAACGACAATACCTGACTGCAGGTATTATTATTACATTTTGATACTGGCAAAGGAGGTCTAATGATGTAGAGCTGCGAGTGCCCGCAACTTTGCCCCAAGCGTACGCGACCTGCCGATCAGCTCACGGTGGTGCACACATTTCTCTTGCAGCGAGGATTGTATTTTACTGCCGCACCTGGAGACTGCACCAGGGAAACCGACCTGGGTTCAACGTCCACTGTGATGAGCATTACACCGTGGCAGCATCCCCATGGATATTGCAATTAAACAAACAACGAAAAATATTGGGAATGTTCTGCTGTTCAGGCCTGATGCAAGGGACTACATCTGCATGCCCAGTCACTAACTACAGTGCTGACAAACGAGCAGGGCTGCAATTCCATGTGCGTTTGATGTTACAAAGTGGTTTGGCATCAACTCAAATCGACCGAATATGAATGTGGGCACAGATCGCGGCTCATGTGACGTTATCAGAAACACATGCTTCGGCTAAATTCTTCATAACGTTATGACAAGACACACGATCAGCTGAATACTAATGGCTGGTAAATTTACAACAACTGGAGAGACAAAACAAAAAAAAACTTTTTTACGAGAATTGATTGCTCAGTGCTTAATTACTAACATCTGAGCAAACGCGTTAAGAGTGATTATTATATTGCAGGCACACAGCTGCGATTGATATTTACACAATATCCTGCGCTTTGTAGTGTTTCTCCCTTTGCATCGGCGGCGCTTTCTTTACGTGGCTGAAGCGCAGACGGGCAAGCTTTGTCGAAATGTTCGAGCGTGCTTTAAAAAGAAAAAGTCGTCGACGGTGTGACGCCGTCCGCTGATGAGGTTGCATCGAGGAACAAAAAAAAAGGAGAGAAAAAAACGGCCGAGAGAGACGCACGCCGTTGTCCCTTGAGAAGAAGATCGCGGGCCACGCGCGCCGTCCCCAGGCGCCTCACCAGGGTTTGCACGATGGCGTGGTTCGTCGCGTTCATATGCACGCCGTAGGGGAAGCTGCAGTTGCCGTCGCAGTAGTAGGCGGCGTAGCCGCCCGGCGCAATGATCCAATCCTACAAATTGATTCACGGAACGGTTGCAAATGCGTCCCCCTTGACAACACAAGCGGCGTTTGCAAGACTGAGATCTAGAGGCACATTTGGTGCAAGTGTCATTGTTTTTTTTTGGGGAGGGGGGGGGGGCGAGGGGCTGGAGGCGACTAAACCCCCACCCACCCCACCTTCATGACGAAGGCTCAACCTCCCCGCCATTCGAAATTCCAACATTCGTTGGCATAACATTTAACACCGGCCGGCGGTTGTTTTCCCATTAAGTTCACGAGTTCGGCGAACGCCCGCCAGCATTCGATTTCATTTGCAAACCGCTGGCAGAGTCGTTGGGAGTGGACCGCACCAAGCGCGAGCATGAGTACAGTCCAGCGATGGGCGTCGCAGCCCTCGCTCGTGTTCGCAAGGCATGAGATCTGCAGCGGAATGCAGCTGAACGTTCGCTTAAAGTGCGTTCGTGTGTATGTTGAACTTATTTCGCACCGTACGTAGCCAACCGTGCTAATCGGAGGTGCGGTTCAACATCAACCATATTGTGCCCCCCCCCCCCCCTGAGTTTCTGTACGTACCCACCCCCACCCACCGCACCTTTAAACGAGGCCACGCCATGGGGTTTGTTCAGTGCGTGCTACCTGCACATTGCGCAGCAGGTACCACGCGCCCCCGCAAAAAAACACGTCCTCCTCGCCATCGACCTTCTCGACAATCACAACGGGCTGATGTCGACACAATCCAGTCGATGGCCACATAACCCCAAATGCCTGCTGATCCCACCAAATCTAAAAGCGAGGTGTCCAGCAAGTAGCGGCGCTGAGCGTCACCCCCTCTTTATGCGTGGACACTCTGCAGGCACTCTGGTTTCCTCGCGCGTGCCGCTCTTCGGTGAGATTGGCCAAACAGCCCAGCGCATGGCGCCTTTCCAAAAAAAATATTCTTGAGGCTCAGCGAGTCTTTGCTGGCTAGGTAAGATACATTATTGGTCTTATCAATTAAGCAATACGTTTATAATTAGGATTTGCATTTCTCTAGCGCCTAAATGCGACTACATTCGAAGGCACTTACTTGCATAGAATACCTGACGTCTCTACTTGCGCCATCTGAACTCACTTAAATATAAAAACAGAATGCCATGGTGTAACTCACCAGCCAGCCTAGATCCCGGAAACTGACGTACATTTCGCGAATCTTGCAGGTCTGTTTCTGCTCACTGCTGTTATAATCTACGGTGGAGGGAGGAACAAAACAGGAGGCAAATTAACACGGAGACTTTCGCGGTCAATGTCAAGATCCATATTTTTTTTATATTTTTATCGTAATAATTGTCATTTGTTTGGGTTCAAATCGCCGCGTGAGTACGAAGCCAATGTGTGTCGTTACATGTTTATAAATAATGGTATGACATTGATCAATTATGAAACAACAGAGGCAATGATGAATATTAGACATTAGAAAAGATCTGGCCAAAGTTGTGCTGTTAAATCCCTCCACCGCCCGACTTAGACAAACAATTGAAGTAGTCACTTGGCGCACAAGCGTTGAACAGCGAGCCAAGAAATACCCTCTGCTCATTTCAAGAAAGGGCAACAAAACGTGCATTTGCGGGCATATCCGTGGCTTTGCCTGCCGACCCTGTTGACATGGCCATTCGTCCTACGAAACTCCCTCGTTGTTACCGATTGGCCTGAATTAGCAAAAAAAAAACTGAACAGGATAGCGTGCCATGCAATATGCATGCCTGGCCTCATTCACGGCTTCATAAATCATTACACAGGGATTGCACTGACTGTGACCATTAACACTGCAACAGAAATGAGAAAGGCCCTGCTGACACCGTTGACCCCCCCCCCCGCACCACCACACCACCCCACCCCTGAGTGAAATGTCCTTTGTTAAAGATTCCCGGTGCTGCGTTCCCACGACCACTGGCCAAATGCTGTCGGTGGCCCAGCCCAGCGATGGCCCAGGGCCATTCCAGCATGGCTCAGTGGGCTCAGTCCCTCCTGGCACCTCCTGAGCCGTGCCAGGCTGGCTCGGTTGTGCAGTGGAAAAGAGATATTAACCAGGCGCCACGGTGGCGAGATGTTAATTCCCTCGCCTTGTATGCAGGATGTTGTGGGTTCCATCCCGATCCTGCTGAATGTATGTTTGGAGTTGCATGTCTCTCTCGACCTGTGGTCGTGTGGATTTATATCCGGGTCCTCTGGTTTTTTCACCTCCACATTTAGAAACATGCTAGAAATTGCAACGTGACAAGCCACTTCGTTTTCGCTATCATTTGTGCCCAGGTGGCTTCTGAAAAAGAGCTATGCAGCTCAATGGGCCTCACCTGGTAAAAATAAAAAATCATAGTTCATAGTTCCCTTACCGGTCATTTTGAACGCCCGGGAAATGTCCTGTTTGGGCCCTCTGCGGCCCTTGTTGCGGCTGCCCTTTCGCTTGCGCCCCACCGCTCGAGCCGAGCGCAGACGCAATTGGCTGGCCCTGAAGAAAGCCACCATGAAGGGCATCTTGTCCTGCTGCCCTTGCCTGCCCACCAGCCCGACCGCCGATGGGTTGATGCTCTCTCCTGCCAATGGACAATGCACAGGAAGGTGTTCACACCAAGCCAGTAGGAACAACTTTCATCCAAAGATCCCCCCCCTGCCCCGTATAGCCTGAAGAGACTGATGGGGCAAACGCTGTACGTGAGCACCCTATGAATCCACGCATACACACGGTCGGCTTTGAATGCCCAGTGCTGATGCTGACGCACGACATTGTTGTTCATTTTAGGCCGCGTTGGCCCAGGGGATTACTATGCTAGGTTTGGGCACAACTTGCCACCGGCGTTGCATGTCACTGGTTTGGCACCTCCAAGGCTGTGTTCCAGTAAGTGCTGCTCCCAAGTGTGTGGACCGGAGGTCACTTGATGGGTGGGATCTCAGAGGTAGCTCTGTGGTATCCACTTATCTGGGCCATTCTCTAAAGCAGAGGGTTGCACTGCCCTGCAAGACATCCAAAGTGGACATTGTGTTCGCGTGTCCTGACATGAGTCACACAATCAATCGGTAGTGAATTGGGAGTCAATCTCCAGTATTCCCAGCAAAAGTTCAGATACCATGTGCCACTGATTTTTGCTGTGGCTGGGAAAATTAACTCACGTTATGTTATTGGCGTTTTTTGATAGCCGCTGCACCCTCGTCATACCCATGCGTTGAGATCATTTATATTATTCTGGTGCTATAAATGTACGTCCAAATGGTGGGCCATTTTGTTGAGCTATCATTTGTGGCCATGTTTTTTATTTCTGAAAAATAAGTTCATACCTCAGTGGGCTTTGACCAGTAGGATGGGGTTGGTTTAGTTTAATTTGTGTGCGTTTGGGTGATGTGTTGACATTTCTTGTATTTTGCACTCATATCGTGTTTTGTAGTGTTTTGTTGTTGCAACGTTCTTACCCGCCCCCTACTGGACATCTGCCAAAAATAACTTTATAGCTCATCGGATTCCTCCAGTATAAATAAATATTCAGATTCTGTATTGTCTAAATGTGCAATAAATTATGGCAGTATTGCATAGAAATCCACGCACGTGTAAGTCTTCCGACTCAAAGATGTAACAGACAGAATGGACGGAGAAGGAAAACAAGTTGGATTGAGAATGTACTCACACTCTTCCCCCCCCCACCCCATATTTATCTTTAAATGATTGTCTAATGACACGAATACGTGCAAACGTCAGTGACCCACACAGGCCAGCTGTGGTGGAGAGTAAAAAAAGTGGGGGGGGGGAGGGCGTATAAAACCTAGCAACGTGCAGTAATTATTTCTGCTGCACTCAGGCTACACACAAAAAAAAGCACTTAAAAAAAATAAATTGCCCTCCGGGCGAGTGGCTTTCATTCCGTGTCTGAACCACGTGGAAGCTGGGTCCCTTTTAACCAATCGTCTTCGCCAATTATTCTAAGCTGCTGGGTTGACGGTGCATCTCACCGGCAGCGATCGTTTTTTCGTTTTTTTTCTGCTGGGTGGCTAAAAATAGCGGTGGTGGCGGTGGCCACCCGTTTCCCATGAGGCATCTGTCTTAAAGGAAACGGATATGGCTGCCACGCACGGATTCCCACGGAACAGTGCCATGAGCTCAACGCATGCGTGTATGTACGTTGAACTTCTTTCGCGCCGTACATAGCCGACCGTGCTCATCGGAGGTGCGGGGCGTACCGCGTGCTGCTTGGCATGACGTACACCCTGAACGCACATCGGTGAAACGTACAGCGCAACATGTCTTTTGCTCGATTAGCACTGAGGGTATTATTTTTTTCATCCCCTGTTCACCAGTGGTGGGAATTCTACATTGCTGTTATAGCAGGGGAGAGTCTCTCCATAGGGCAACCACTCTTGGCCTCGCAACGAAGTCATATTAATTTGATCATACCCGAAAAGTTGATGGGTTGAGTAAACCTCCCACAGCCAGGATTTGAACTCACAATATTCCGACTGTGAGCTGCTTGCTCTACCACTGAGCCACCTGGCTGGCGAATGAACCAGCCTTGTGGCTCAGTGGTGGGTGGCTGCGTCTTGCTTTCTGCTAATTCTCCGTGGGCTTTCAATGTTGCGCTGTGCGGTTCTCTGATGGGTCTTCAGGGTGTACGTCATGCCAAACAACACGCGGCACATCCCGCACCTCCGATTAGCACAGTTGGCTACGTACGATGTGAAAGAAGTTCAACATACATATCTATTTTTTATACAAGTTACAAAACATCAAGAACATGCGTCATTGGGCGACGATTACATTTTGAGAGACTGGATGTGGCATTAATCATTTCCCAGACATTTATGTGGTTGTTGACCTCAATCAACAGTTTTCCCTTCAGTCACAGTCACCTTGACATGAGCACTTCCTAAAACACATCAGTGCATCTTCTCTAAATAACTCACCACAGGCAAACGCAGTGAATATGCATCTCTCACTCTCGAGGTATTAATGCCCATGGAGTGTGATTCGCATTATTCAGCTGTTATATTCCACTGTCCAATTGATAGAATTCCTACAGAGAGACTAGTCCCTGTTACACCATTGGTTCATGGAGACACGTTCACTTTGACCTCTCGATACAGAGGGTGGCCCACACATCATATAGGCAAACCAAGTTCGATTCCCGTTTACGGCCAACATCAGTGGCGAATATCTGAACCCATTATGGGGCCTCACCTAGGTCAACTCCGCCTTAATGAGTACTTGGTGCAGGGTGTAAACATCAGCTTGGGGAGACAAAGGTGGCCGGGTGTGGTGCTGGCCACCCATCCCCTCGTGTGTCTCGTGTAGGCGTTAATAGGTGCTCGCTACCCGCGCTTGCCACAACAGTATGTGAAGGCTATAGGGGGTGTGTGTTTAGTCTTTGTCTTTGTGTATAAATGGAACCAAACAGTCAATTGTTGAAGGTGTAGGGAGGCAAACACCACAACCCTTATCCGCATCGAGTGAAGAGAGGGAATCTAACCACCATTTATTCCAAACGAGCTCATAACCTGACAATGTCAATGTCCCCACTGGGATCGCCACAGCATTTGGTAAACGCTTCTCCGTTTTGCCATGCGTCTCTGGAGAGGAGGTACCTTTGCAAAAAAAAACGGTTTAATTTTGACATAAACACAGCGCTTGGTTTTAAATGAGAGTCGGAAGCAATTATGTTATTAAATCAGAATGTGCCTCATGAAAACGCCGTGCGACCATAAAGTTAAATAAACCGTCTGAAGTTGTCCCCCATCCCTGCAGGGAAGTGAATTCAAATGGTGTCTCCCAATGACTTTGCTCAGCTTGAGGCAGCTGCTAACGAGCTAGGGATGGTTATTCCCGCTTAAAACCTTGGACGAGTGATCAACAAGAGTCAGGTCACAACAGGCAAGTAGGAACCGATTCTGAGCATTATTTTATTATTACTGCACATATTAACTCAGGAAAGTCGCAGTGAGTCCCGATTATCTTTTTTTCGGGAGGGTCCTGCCAAGTATGTTTTAAAGTGGAGGGCAATGGTGCTATGTGTAATCCTAATTAAGTGATTTGCAGCTATTTTTTTTGTATAGATTCGGAATGTTTGGCCAAAACCAGTTGCGTTGTTGTTTTAGTTTTTTAGCGAAGGGTGAGAACCAGATGACCTCGGGGAAACCCATGCAGACTGGGGGAGAACATACAAACTCTACTCAGAAAGACGCGCCTGTGTCAGGAATCGAGCCCAGCTCCTTCTTGCTATGTATCATGTATGAACGTTGACTTATTCCGCACCGTACGTAGCCAACCGTGCTAATCGGAGGCATGGCTGTTATCACTGTCCTACCCTATTGCCTGATGCTCAACAAATATATTTGTACTATCTGGGCCAGAATGTTTGCAGTGGCTAAATTATCATAGTTATATATATTTTAAAAAATGTACAGTCTTTTGGAAATCCACAGCTGGATGAAGGCCACCATAGGGTTGTGTGATCATACTCTACCATGCTCGTCAGATAGTAAAAGGGTGACCCCAGGACTGGCTCAGATATCACTCGCTATCGATGTTAGCTGTGACCGGAAGTCGAACTCATGTTCACAGTGCCGTGTACGCACCGCTACGCCTCTGCTCCACACCAATACGATAATCAATTACGGTCAATTATAACATTGGCCGGTCTTTCTTGTATATTAAGATGTGCCTTAGCATAGTGTTGCGTCTGTACTGAACTGGGAGCATTGAACTAAACTAGTAACTAAACAATAATTTGTAGTTTTGCCAGGTAAGGCCCCACTGAGCTATATGGCTCTTTTTTCAGAAGCGACCTGGCCACAAATGATAGCTGAACGAAGTGGCTTATCACGTGGACATTTATATCAGCGATATACTCTAAATGCGTGATGATTCTAAATGTGGATGGAACAAAAAAACGGAACACCTGGAGAAAAATACACGCGACCACGGGGCGAACACGCAAACTCCAAATGTACAGCAGGCGCCAGGGCCGGGATCGACCACACATCCTCCTGCATACCAGGCGAGGGAGTTAACATCTCATAGCCACCGTGGCAAAAATGCGTCGAGGACAAACACGTGGCGTGTGAGCGAACGAACGAGTGCCTGCTGGGTAGGGTTCCCCCCCGGTACAACGAGACTGCGAGTGTCCAGCCTTACCGCTCATCGTCTCCACGCGCAGCTGTAAGCCCAGGTTTTGTTTGGGGCTCATGAGCCATAGGTTGGACGTGGCCGTGATGTCGAACACCAGCCAGCTCTCCTCCGTGGCCCACACCACGCGGCTGTCGAGCTGAAACAAGTCCGACTGCCTGTCCACGCAAAGCAGAGCGGAGAAAGCAATCACACAGAGGCAAAGGTCCCCCGTATAACCTTCAATAGGCTGCTGGGGCAAAGTGCTCTTGGCGAGCGCCTAGAAATGGGTGGCAGGGTGCCCGAGAGATGGGTCTGGTTAGCACCACGTCCGGCCGCCTTTGTCTCCCCATTGCTTGACGCTTACACGCTGCACAAGGTACTCGTTTTTTTAAGGCTGAGTCGACCTAGGAGAGGTCCAGGAACTGTCCAGGTATTTGTGACTGATATTGGCCATGAGCGGGAATCAAATTTAGGTCGCAGGGTTTGTCGTGTGGTCCACTAACCACCATACTACCACTCCCTGCATTAATATACAAAGAAAAAGATCCCCCGTGTAGCCCTAAACAAACTGTTGGGGCAAGGGCTGTTAGTGAACACCAATGAAGGCTGGCACGGCACACAAGGGGGTGGGTGGCCAACACCATGCCCGGTCACATTTGTCATCCCAGTGCTGATACTTAAACACCGCACAAGGTATTCTTTTTTAAGGCTAAGTCGACTTAGAGGAGGCCCAGGACCAGTTTAAATATTCGCCAACGTTATTGTTCGAGAGCAGGAGGCAAACTCGGGCGCAATGCGCTCACCACTTCACTACCATTGCCCACAAACATGTACTCTACGTATGCACACGTAAAAAAACATAGATTTTAAATTTAGACACAATTACAATGCGATATCGATCTTACTTCACGGGATCGAATGTTTGTCCAATGGGATAAGAGACAATTTGTCCCAATGGGCTCTCACCTGTTTATGAATACAGCCAAACAGTCAAAAGTGATGCTCTGCTCAAATGAGCATTGAGGAGGTGTTCATCTCCTGTGCACGGCCCTGAACCAATGGTGGAAATGCCACATTCCTATGGCGAGAGCCATAATTGCATGTATGTATGAACTTACTTTGCACCGTACGAAGCCAACCGTACTAATCGGACGTGCGGTGGAAGGACAACAAAACGCCAAAAAGCAGTTTTTAAGAAATGCATTCCATAACGCTGTACATTAATTATATATGAGGACCAAATCACATATGCAGCCACTACCATGCAAATGAAAACCATACCACCACCACCACCAAGAATTTTTTTTTAAATAAAATCAAAGAAATGGCACCAAAACATAAAGCGCTAGCAACAACAAAGGTGATCACAACAAATAAACGAGTCCACGAGGTCCACTACGACACAATTCCAGACCACAGTCCCAACTTCTCAAGCAAGCTAGGAAACCATCTTCTTTGGGTCTTTCGGTAAAGTCACGTAGATAGGTTCAAATAAAATAACAAAAAAACTACCACGTTTTGTGTTGCGATCGAAACGTCGTAGTATTTTGTTATTTTCTTTGAACCTATCTACGTGACTTTACCGAAAGACCCAAAGAATATGAATGCCTGCAGTCACGAAAGCTTTAAGTCAAGATTCAAGGCAGGAAACATTGACGGGAAAGGCAGTGGTGGAGTGCCAAAAGGTTGCGGCTCATTTATGGCAATCGGTCAAATGTCATTTTATCGAACCGAAAGGGATGATGTGCTGAGTCAACCCCAACCGGGATTTTAACTCATGAACTTCCGATCGCGAGCTGCTCGATCTACCACTGGGTCACCTGGCCAATGTAAAAGTGTCGAAAGGTGATCTTTGTAGATGTAAAGTTTGTGGTATTGAAGGTAAAGGTTATATTGCTATTTTAACTATTAACTCTATTTTGTTATTTTAGCAGGTAAGCCCCACTGAGTTCCATAGCTATTTTTTCAGATGCGGCCTGGACACAAATGATAGCTCAACAAAGTGGCTTATCACTTGGAAATGTATAGCAGCCACATATATGGTGACACTGGTGTGACTTGTGTGCGATGTCTTCAGTACAAATCCAAACTACTATCTGTTTTCTGATAGCTCATGAGCGGTGGTTGGTTGGCACAACCTGGGATGGCAAATGATGTCAGTGTCCCCCACGTGGGCAGTGTCCAGTGGAAGCCATAGTTACGTGGAATTTCCACCATTGTCTCAAAACTGCCGATAGTAATCAATAAATACTGTTGCATATATGTGTACATGTGGAAAATGTTAACACTGCATAAACAAAACACACGATGAGGTTGCATAGGCGACGCTATGAGACGGCACAGACAACACATTATGATAAAATATCAACAATGCACAGACAACACACTGTGATATTAACACAAGCAAAACGCCTGTTCGAGTATAGGAAACCGCTGACCTATCTTACTTGAGACTGTCATGCGTCTAAATCCATATTTATTGTTAACGTAGAAATGTAATGGGGGGGGGGGGGACCGATAAGCTTTAACCTTTGTTTTTCTCTTATCAGTTTGATACTTGGCTAAAATAGGGCCCCAACGAAGCGTGCACCGTGAAGCACCGCGAGGAGGCAAGGAAAAGCAAGCCCTGGGCCACGCGGGGATCTCCCGGTCAATGTAGGCAGGCTCAGTCAGTTGGTATAACCCAAAAACAAAACACCCCTATACACAGACATACATGGTAGGTTCCACATGTAATTGCCAACATGTGTGACTTAATAATAGATGCTGCAAGGCAAACAGGTGCATGAACATTGATTATGGGACATTCCTTTTTTTTCTTCAATATTTTAACATTGCACCAATTTGAGCTGACTGTCGGTTTGTGGTTTATTTTATTATTATTATTATTTTGCAAAGCCCACTTGTAAAAATTAAGACGCTCGTGGTCCACCGGTACAGTTCTCTCTAAATGAAATCCGTCGTATCGAATCCCCTAGAGGAGTTTCCAGGTCTCATTGTGTCTCAGAAGCTCAGCAGGGGGTAGACCACTAGTGCATAGCAGCCGTAGGCATAGGGGCTGCAGGGAACACACGACCTTCCAGCAGATGGTAATACGGCAATGGGTGCGGTACACAGAATTAGTCCACCTCATGGATCGATCTAACACGTAGGCTTTTACGACCAATATCATCCATAATACAGGTTTTTTTCTTGTGTTAGATCGCGTAAATGTTGTGGCTTGGCTCTCCAACACACCGGTGTGCTGTACTAGTAACGAATTGGCACGTTATGTTTACGTGACAAACCTTACCAATTGGCTGTGTCGGGTGGTGGCGGGTTTAACGACACATTTATATATTTACGCGTTCTAACCCAAAAAAATACTGTACTACTAATGGATCGATTTAATCCGTCAACTAAAGCTATCTGTGCAAAAGTTATGAGTGTTATCCCCTTACATTGTGTTGGGTTTCTCTGGGTCATCCAGTTTTCCTCCCAGATAAATACAATAGCCAAATATCAAGATCAAGGAGTCTCTAGAAATGGGAGTCTTGAGACTTGCGGAGGATTTTGTGGGTGAATCATGCACATTATTATTACTATTATTATATGCTTGTGTATATGCAGAGTGCACAAGCAAGATCACTGTCAAACATATCCGTTTTTGGAACGTAGAATAGGTTCTTGCCATGCCACGAGTCCAGTTCAACAGGTTTTGTTTTATGGCTAGAACGTGCAGATTAAATTTATTTGGTTGTGTCGGCACTGTTACTCAACTGTGCAAGTGCATTTCAAAATTCCAAAGCCGTGAGGAAATCACCAAGAATGCACCCAATATTATTTGGGTCTTTCGGTAAAGTCACGTAGGTAGGTTCAAAGAAAATAACAAAAAATCGACGACGTTTCGATCGCAACACAAGCGGTCGTTTTTTTTTCATTCCTGATGACGACCGCTTGTGTTGCGATCGAAACCTCGTAGATTTTTTTTTTAATGTTATTTGAACCTATCTACGTGACTTTACCGAAAGACCCAAGTCATATTAATTCCTGCAGTCACAAAAGCTTGAAAGCTAAGCGAAAAGCAAACCTGGCTAGTACTTCGGTGCAAGCCTGCCTGGGAATACCAAGTGTTTTAGGTGTGGGCTGTAAGGTAGACAGGACATGGTGGTACAGCAATGGATTCTTTAATATATTTGCGCAAAAGTTAGCCCCTTGTAATGCATGCATTTTCTCTGGTCACTCCAGTTTTCTTCAACGAGTCAAACATTCGTTCGTGGGATTGGCCAAATATCCCAATGCAGGACCCTCTCGAAAAATTGTTTTCGGACTCGGTGAGGATTTCCTGGATAAATAAAGAGACGATGTCGTGAAACGTATTTCTCGCCAATTCACAATAGTTGTTTGGGTTTTTTCGAGAAAATTTCCGGGAAAAACGTAAATCGTCAACTTTACGGTCGCCGGTGTCAAAACACAACTTTGCCAATTGTTCAAATTATCTGGCTAATTTCTCGTAGGTTCTCATGAAAAAAAAAACACTGCTAACAAATAAACACAACGTAGACGATGACACAGGCCACGCAGAGTGAGCAGGGCTCATCGCGATCACAGCCACGCACAGAGAGCAGGGCTCATCACGATCACAGCCACGCACAGAGAGCAGAGCTCACCATGATCACAGCCACGCACAGAGAGCAGGGCTCATCACGATCACAGCCACGCACAGAGAGCAGGGCTCATCACGATCACAGCCACGCACAGAGAGCAGGGCTCATCACGATCACAGCCACGCAGAGAGAGCAGGGCTCATCACGATCACAGCCACGCTCAGAGAGCAGGGCTCATCACGATCACAGCCACGCACAGAGAGCAGGGCTCATCACGATCACAGCCACGCAGAGAGAGCAGGGCTCATCACGATCACAGCCACACAGAGAGAGCAGGGCTCATCACGATCACAGCCACGCTCAGAGAGCAGGGCTCATCACGATCACAGGCCACGCACAGAGAGCAGAGCTCATCACGATCATAGCCACGCACAGAGAGCAGGGCTCATCACGATCACAGCCACGTACAGAGAGCAGGGCTCATCACGATCACAGCCACACAGAGAGAGCAGGGCTCATCACGATCACAGCCACGCAGAGAGAGCAGGGCTCATCACGATCACAGCCACGCACAGAGAGCAGGGCTCATC